CCCCCCCCCAAATACTAGGGGATATTTACTAATTGCAAAATATCTTCCAGGCATTGTTCCGTCTTCTGTTGTCTTGACTGCTTTCCAAGTGATGTCAAGGGTTTTCCTGACCTGGGCAGTAACACATAGTGTAAAAGAGGTAAGTTAAGCTATGAAATAAATCAAAGAATTAATGACCCATGCTAAAAAGCAAGGGTTGATTGCTATCTTATTTTTCTTAAAAATGAGTTCTGCTTTTTCCCAACATGTGAAATTGTTTATGTGAATTTCTGTGAATCACAGAGAATAAACATATCTGATTTCGTCTCTTCTTGACAACGAAATAGTTTGAGGTCTGAGCCTTTCGCTGTAAGGCACGTAGTTCCTGAATAGCTTTTGCAATCCTTCCTGAAAACTGAAGAGGTTCCAGTGTGTAATATGGACCCCAGAAGCAGGGACAGTATTCTAGTATTGATCTCGCTAGTGCCGTATTTAATAGTAAAGTCTCCTCACTACTCCTCTCTTCCATACACAACTTGCTCTTTATACCATCGCACGTAGGAGCTCCCCCTCAATTGTTTGTCCGCAGCAATGGCTAGATGTTCTCAGTCGTTGCTATCTAAGATGATCTTGCCCTCTGTATGTCCTTCATTCAGTTTTCATACGTTCCAGTATAGGTGTGGTTTTGGGTCTGGGTGTCTTTTCTCATTGTTTACCGCAGCAAATGCTGCTGGTATTTCATATAAATGCCTGCAGAATCTTCTAGGAGCAATCCAATTTGAAAATGATTCCCAGCTGACAACTACTTTTAAATCTAAATCTGTTTCCATGTCAATTGATACAGATATTGCTAACTTTTTTGTATGATCTAAATATCTTGGAGTAGCCCAAGCTTGTTACAGCTCTGCTGTTACTTTGGCCATCTGATCTTATTATCTCGTTTTAAAAAAAAGAAAGAAAGAAAAAAGCCTTGATGCCATTGTCAGCAGCTTCTCTCTCAGAAAACATGGCTGCCTGAAAGACGTGATAGACATTGGCTGTCATACATGTAACTTAACATGGAGAATGTCAAAAGGAGCATGTCCCTTTTTGCCAAGTCTTCAGGGAAGCTCCTGTCTCTTCTTTACCATACCGTTGATCAGAGCTTCCATCCACGTTGATAAGTAACATATGTCACTGTAGTTCCTAATAATTAACTGCCCTTTCTGATATGATGATGCTTGTTCTTGTGGAGCCTTTGTTTCCTACTACTGGAAACTGTTACTTTTCTTTAAAAAAAAAAAAAAATCTTGTACATGTTCCCTCTCCTTCTGATTTATTTCACTTTTGATGGAAACAAACGTACTCTAGTCCCTACTAATTCAAACTCACAGGGGATAAATGCTAGATTGTCAACAAGAAAATACAATCCCAAGACATTAGATCTTAGATACATATATAAAATATTGTTCAGAAGTATGCCTATAGTTTTGCTTGAAACCTATTGTTTTTAGTTGTATAATGTTGCAGTACATGGTGCTTAGAACAGGAATAATCTGTGTTTATAAATTGCCTCCTGGTCTTGCAGTAATCAAAAATGTTAAGGGCTGGATTGCCTGGACAGAATTATTCCATATGCGTTCTGTAAGACATGAAAAGGAAATCTGCAAAATGATGATGGATTAGGGTTTATTGTTGTTTGTTGTTGTTTTTTAACTTATGCCCACATTCTTGCAAAAAACCCCTTCAAAATGGAAGAAAATAAAAGGAAGACGTTTAGACTAACATTCAGCTTTTTTCAACAACAGCATGTGTGTTGTGTCCTCCAGCCTCCATAAATTTACGTGGTCTTTGGGTTTAAAAAAAAGTCTTGAGAGACACTGCTATGGTACCTTTTGTAATGTCTCAGAAAGTGAGCATAAGGGAGGATGGGGATGTGAGGAGTTTTCACCTCTGGACTTAAAATAGAGGTGACAGATTAAATGAAGAGGTTGTCTCATGACACACGCACATACAAGCATGCACACACACATGCACCCCGCACGCAGAACAAAACATCCGAAACAGAATGCCTTATCTGAGAAGATGTGTGTAAAGCGTCACGAGTGTTCTACTCTTTCTAAAGGGCTGTCTGCACAAGTGAGCTCCATGGTGAAGTCCAGGATTAAATTCTCACACAGCTCCAGGATTAAATTCTCACACAGCTTTATGGAACTTGTAAGCTATGCAGTTGCATGATGAGGTGGTTGTAAAATAAAACTCGGTTTTCCTCTTTAACTTTTTGAGTAAGGATCGCTTAATATCTTGCTTTTCCAGACCGCTTTCATATGTAACACGGTTAAAAGAAAAAGCCTCTATATTGCATCCCTCTTCTGTGTCAGAATACTCTTCTGAATACTTGATGTGATTTGAAGCATGCTTCCTGCCACTAACATGTTTATGCTTTTTGTTGAATTTAGTGTTGACGTTTTCATAAATTCAGTATTTATAATAAAGTATTTATAATAAGTATTAAAGCATGGCAGACTTCTAGTAAGCACTGTGCGCTTCCCCTTACCTCCATCACACAAGCAGCTGTTAGCTTAGTGGAGGAGGGCCTGGCATGTAATACAATAGTTGTAGTCCAGGAAATATTCTTGTCTCATTACGCCAGAAAGGAATCAGTTTGGATTTTACTGTCCTTCGTATGAAGGAAGGAAGAGAATGAGCTGACTGGAGTGAAGGGCTGGATGAAAACAGCCATAGGAGAGTGATAAGCGTCCTTCAGTTCAAAGTTATCTTTTTGAATCTTTGTGTGTGAAAATGAGGTCATCTCGTGACATCTTGGGGCCCTTCATGGAGTTCCGTGTGTGACCCAGTTCTGATAGGTAAGTACTATGTCATTGCTGGCACCTTTCTGAGGTATCAAAATTGGTGCCATTACAAGGCTGAAAGTAAGGTATATATTTAGAGGTACCTTTCTAGAACACAGTCAAATTTTATAAAGGGATGGTGTGGAAAAGACATGTACAGCATATTGAGTGGGTAATTAAGACTTCAGCATCTGCAGCTGTGAACTTGACATCTTTCATTAGTAGTAAAGCGTACTTAAAGAGAAGAGCATTTTAATGAGGTTGAGTTCAAGTAAAAGGAGTCCACACTGAAAGTTCAGAACTCTAAAAGGGTGAGTGCACTTGGCAAGCCTGATTCATCACTGCTTTATCTCTGTGTAAAATTTGAGTAATATTGTACAGCACAAGTGTGACAGACCCTTTATGCCTATTCTGAACCTTCCTTTTTTGTTTTTTTATTGATGTACAACAGAGCAAAAGAAGAGGTGCTGTTTCATCATTAGGGTTGCATAGTGTCACTGTTCTTATTCTTCTGTGTTGGTTTCCTGATGATGTATTTGGATTAAATTTTTATGCAAATAACTTTTCAAATATGACTCCTAACATGAGGAAATTTGTAGAATTTCTAGATTTCTCTTTTGTGCCTTTCAAACCCTGCTTTATATCTTGCATAACTCTTCATGCATGAGGAGAACAGTAAAAGAGGCTTTGTTTTGTCAATTCCCAATTCTAAATCCCATTTTTGTATCTTAAAAGGCTGTGGATTTTCATTTCTTTTAATGAAGACTGCCTGCTATTCATAATCATGAAGATGAGCCAAAATATATTCAAGACCCTCCTTGGTGATAAAAATCAGTTTGAAACACATCAGAAATGTATGCCTATGTTATGATTCACCCTAATTAAGGTAGCTGGACAAATAAGTCATATGTAAATTGTAAAACGTATTGTGACTTTAACTCCTTCTTCAAAGGCTGGCATGAAAAGGTGGAGGAAGAGAAACTGAGTTCTGGGGGCAACCCTGGGCTTTGTGGTTTATGGAGAGCCTGCTGCTGATGGGTTGCACTATCCCTTTTCTCAGCTTGGAAGAGGAATGATACTTAGGCTGCCTTAGCAGTGATTGTTTCTAATTGAATAAGTCTCTTGAGCGACTGTTTTGTAAATCAGTCCCTTGGGGTTCAATAATGTGAATTTAAGACATCTTTATTTGAAATATTGAGGGGAAAAAAGTCTTAGTACTTAAAGAGAAGTTCTAATAGTAACAGACTTCTGACAGATCTGTTAGTTTTAGGAAATACATATTTTTAAATTATGAGCTATGGAATGTAGTTAAAATATGATGATAAAATATGTAGGAGTCTTGTGTGACTAATTACACAGAAGGGGACTGTTTGAGAACTCCTTAGGTCATTTTGCTTCCAAAACTACCACCAGTTGCCAGTATTCTTCCTTCCTTAAGTAGGGACTTATAAAGGCACAATCTGTACTTCTTAAGTGACCTTAACTTTTTTTTGTAATGCTGTGAACTGTTTTAATAACTTCCAAATACAATTCGATTATTAAAGTAGATTGGGATAACTATACCTCAGAAAGCAGTGTTACAGAAGCCCTGTGACAGAATTGAATTGCAACAGCCAAGTTTTCTCAATTCATTACTTAACTCTTAGGATCCCAGAAACTGTGATGCTCTTGTCCTCAGTCGTATTTTCAGGTGGTGCCTTAAGCAACAAATTTTTGTTTGATTGGTTTTGTGAAAGAAGTGGGGTGTCAAAGTGTAGGTTGAGGTCTGTCTTTTTATTCGCACAAAACACAGAAGCTTAGATGAACTCACTAAGCTGCTAGTCATGATTTGCCCAGAAGGTGCAGCTCGTGAGCGCTTGGGAAGCATGCTGCTTTTTGGGAACAGCATCATCTGTGAAGTGCTGCTAACTCTTCCAGGTTGAGAACTGAGCCTTGCTTATCAAGCAAACCCAAAACAGGATTAGGATCCTGTTCTAGATATTGTAGAAATATATAGTTAGATATGGTCTCTTCTCTTTAAAGAAGTTCTGGGTTTTGTTCTTTTATGATGATGTAAGGGAGATTAATGTGCTGGCAAATTACCAGAGTTTCATGTGGAAAAGAGCAAGCTATGTTTGCTGCAAAATGCAATGGAAGTGACTTGAAATGCTGTAAGCAGCATCTCATGTAGAATAACACCAACTATACATATATATTTTTATATAACTCTTCCTCGGTTTTGTAGTCTCTGTAACAGAAAGCTTTTATGGATAGTCTTCATGAGCTGTTTTACAAGCAAATACATGATCAGTCCCTTTCTCCGAAAAGGTTTCGGATGGTCCGTATACTTTTTTTTTTTTTTTGCATGTATGTTGCCCCAGATGAATAGGGTGCACCACCCACACCTACTGACTTCCTTTTCCCCTTTTTCAAGAGTTGGAGGAAAAAAGAAAATGCAGGCCCCTGTGGCTGAGCTCTTTTTGTTCCCACGGTGCAGTGAATTTGGGCTGAGGGTACCCATACTGCTGAGAATTCACAGCATGCTTTTGGGGGGGGGGAGGGAAATGGAGGGCTGCGTAAAAATCATGTTTATTTGTGCTCTCGTGAGTTTATAGTGTGGTTATGTGCCCCCATAAACTTTCATAAAACTGCTGTTCTATTTCAAACTTAGCTCATAACTGTGCTCCCAAATCTAAGATTTCATTTTAAAATATCGTACGCTTGTGAAGACTAACCTTCAAAATAGAAAGGGAGTAAAACTGGTTCACTGGTGTAAGTGAAATAACAGCTCAAAGAGATGTAAAGCAGTGAAATGTAATAATGCCTTAAATGTAATGTTAGAGGAACAATGCTGGAAGCAATAAGCAAGAGGAGGAGCAGGTAGCTGTCAAGCTTACCTGAGGTGGGACAGATAAAATTTGAGCTTCCATTTCTCTCCTCCCAGCCTTTGGTTTAGCTGCCTTATTGCTGTCCAGAATTAGGACCCAGGTCCTCATCTGTGAAGAAAAACTGTTCCTGGTAGTCAGAAATAACACTCACTAGGACTAGAGTTTAAACCAGTTTTGAAGTGAGACTAACGCTTTAGCTTCTTCTCTGCTTCCTGCACTAGGAAGCAATCACAGGGCTGAAGTAGAAGTACTATATAGGTATGGGAAGAGTTGTGAGTCATTCTCAGTATTTCAATAATTTCTTGCACTAATTGCATTATACAGAATGAGGGATCTTAACTTACCAGATCACCAGAGCTATTCTTAAGCCAACCACAAAAATATGGAGCATGATAAAGAGGGTGGTTTTTTTTGCTGTTGTTACTAATGTTGCTTTTAAGCTCATTCTTGGAATCCGTTTTCTGAAACGATGCGATAAATTAATCCATAGGAATTTATTTCTTTGGAGTATTTTTGGTCTACTGAGTAATTAGTAACGCCTGAATTTATTCTGAACTTCTCTTTCTTTCTTATAGGTACAAACTGAAGATAGTGTCCTGTTGTTTGTTGTGGCCTGGACAATCACTGAGATCATCCGCTATTCTTTCTATACATTTAGCTTATTAAACCATCTCCCTTATCTCATCAAGTGGGCCAGGTATGAGGCATAATAGAAATCACAGCCCTTAAAGCATTGATTCGACAGAAATATTTATCTTTTCAAACAGTTGCAGTAAAAAAAATAAGATGCTGCCTGGTGGTAATTGCCCTATCTGTGAATGTGACTTCCTTCTTTTCAAGAGTTTTCCTGGTTAATTAATCTATCAAATTAAAGCTGAAACATTACTTGGTCAAAATTCAATCCCGTTTACAAAGTGATTGTGTTTGTCAGAAACTGACATTTAACAATAAGGAGAGAAAGAACTTTTTTAAGGTGAAGCATGTTTAAATCGAACTGTTTTAACTGAAAAAATTTGTAAGCTCCTTGGTTTCTATTGACTGTGCTTGGCCTGATTTTAAGTAATATAACAACTTCTGACAAAGAGCTCAGAAGTCAAAGTAACTAAGTGGGGGTCGTTTTAAAGACGGCTTTCAGCTTCTCGAAGGTAATCTTCAAATAATTCAAACGGAGCGTTTTACCTTGCAGTAATGTCCACATCTTGCCATGCTCTAATCAAATAAGGGTTAAGGAAAATAAAACAAATACTAAATTGAGTAGACAACTTCAAAATTTGAATACTCCTGATAGCACTTAACAAATAATTTGTAGGAGTTTGTCATGACTTTTAATCCTTTTCTTAAATATTTTGTTCTAGGTACACTTTGTTTATAGTATTGTATCCAATGGGAGTCTCAGGCGAATTACTGACAATATATGCTGCATTACCCTTCGTCAGACAGTCTGGCTTGTATTCCATTAGTTTACCTAACAAGTACAATTTTTCTTTTGACTACTATACCTTCCTGATCCTGATTATGATCTCTTACATTCCAAGTAAGTATGAGCTTGTTAGGGTTTTTTTATATATATAAAATAAAAGCAGTATGAGGAAAAGCTGTGAGATTAAAATATACATAGCTAAGTACTTTTGTGTAATTAATTTTGAAAATTACCTATAGAAAACAGCTCAAACAGCAGGGATTGCTTTCTACCAATGTGTGCAATACAGTAATATTGTGTGTTTTTCTCTTATAGCTGGAATATAAAATAACTGTACTACCTCTTGGCAAATGCTGACTTCTTAATTTTTTGTTTTAAAAATGCTTTTGCCTTAATTTTTAAATTTACAGAATTTTAGGAGAACAGAGTTCAAAATCTATCAGAATTTGGTTATTTTTCCATTGAGATAGTCTCAGGTTGCTGTTTCCATAGATGGAATGGGATCTGGCTTTGCTGTTTTGAAATCGGCAATAGGGAATACTGGAGTCTCCGAGTCCTACTTAAAGCCTGTAGCAAATTTAGTTATGCAAACACAAGTCTAAGAGAATAATGTAGTGATGATGTTGACGTTGTTAGTTGTCTCTGTAGCTGTCTTTATCTGAACGCTGCTGTTTGTGCAGAATGATAAATCATATACTAAGATTTAAATTTCAGCATTGTGGTGTTCTGTAATAAGCACTTACTTTTAGTGAATTACTTTGTAATTCTGACCTCAAGATTTATAAATTTCTTCAGCTGTTCTCAAAACACTTTTTATACACTTATGTCTCCTTGTCCCCTCTTCCAAAAATGTCGATATTACTAACTCCAAGGAGGCAGAATAATATCTTTTGTTTCAGTCAAAATAAACATGAGTATTACTACTTTGGAGTAACTTGGCCACAGTTGACAGGCCGTGTGGGAGGGAAAAAAATTAAGCCCAAGTAACAATTTTATCCCTCTTTCGCCACTAAAATATCTTATCTGACAGACCACTTCTCTGTAGTCTGTCAGATAAGATATTTTGTGGTATCCATTTGTCAGATGCGTAACTTGAATGCAGTCTCTTTTTGTAATCATTATTGTGAATTGGTATCTTAACTATGAGAACCAAAATTATGTGCGTGATATTACTACTTTGGCTTAAGTGGTCTTAGGTGCCTTTTCACATGAAGGAATAGCCTGTGGTGTTCTGGAGATGCCAGAAGATGAACATTCATTGCACTTGTCTGATTATATCACAAGTCAGCAGTTCTTTGATAAAGGCTTCCTGTGCAGGGGGTTTGCTTTCTGAACCCACTGAAGATCTTGAAAGTTTTGGGAATGCTAACATTGCAAAGAGAGCAAGCTTTGAAAACTGTTGTTGAAAATTGAGATTAACATTCCTGATAGTTGCATTTTATCATTTACTTTACATAAATCTCTAATACTAGTCTGTCAGAATTAGAATCTTGCCAAAAAAGATGTCATTAAATTCTCTGCATGTAAAGGATCCCTGTTATGAATGAGCACCTGAATTTACGTAGACTTATAATGGAGATGCCATGTGGCTCTGTATACTACTATGTTTCTGACCAACTGTATTCACTACTTAACACTGGAGGAGTGAAATCAATTGAAAGTCAGGATAGGGGGAAACGATTAGGAAATGAAATACAGGGTAAAGAAAGCCAGAAGAAATCTCGACAAATAGTAAATATTTTAGTACACAAACTAAATAGTCTTTTGTTGGTCTCCATTTATAACGAACGCTTGGTGTATATAACTGATGTAATCTAGGCTGATGCTGACCTTGTTTAGTTTACATATGGTTCACAAAGATGAAGGCTTAAGTCTAATGGCAGTTTTAGCTTTTGCTGTTCATGTATGTTTGGTTCCCATCTTCCATTTTGTTTTTTTCTGCAAACATACTGTATATAATGCAGCCTTAGAAAAGGAGGAAGAAAGCTTTGTGTGGAGGATGGAGGCAGGTGAGAGGGGCACCAGGTCAGGTACAGTTTTTTAGATCCTGAGAAAGGGACACTAAACCTGTAAGGAGTGAAACAAGTCTGGAAGTTCTTTTTGGAAAGAGTTTCATTCCTTATGGTGCTCTTTTTCCTCCTTGCAAAGTATGTTCTTTCTATTGTGTGTATGCAGTTCAGGAAACTTTGTCATCCTGTTTGTACGTGCAGAGTTGATTATAAAAGAAGGTTATTTGGCCTTTAATTCAAAATTGATTGCTCCGGCAAAAAATAAATGGTGAAGTCTGAAGACTGTATTATTCCCTTAAAGGACTAAAAGGCAGTAGACGATATGAGTGGAAAGTGGGTAAGCATGTTTTATTTTCAGAGAGAACTGGTGACCTTGAGTATGTGACTGTGCATCTCACATTGACACACAAACCTGACTGCGTACTTTATTTACTTACGTCTGTTTTCTCTTCAGTCTTTCCTCAGCTGTATTTTCACATGCTACATCAGAGGAGAAAGGTACTTTCGCACACTGAAGAACACAAGAAGTCGGAGTAATTCCAGCTCTTTTTGAGAACTTTTCAAACATCAAAATGCTGCAGATTTTCAATACTCAGCACGTTTATAGAGCATATACCAAGATAAGCTAAGTCAGAGGTAAAAGACCAATAATTGAGCAAGAATAACCAATAAACCTGATTTCACTGAAATTCCATGGTGTAAAACATTGAAATAGTTTTCAGCTTGCAGTGCTTCAGAAAACTTCTACAATTTAAATGGCTTTGGCAGTTAGCCTTTTCCTTAAATGATATGCTGAATGGTTTTCAGTTATTACTAAATGCCTGAGGGTTACAGTATGAGTGATAAAGTTGTACCCACTAAATGCTTGAATTGGGATTATATTACTGATACATATATATAATATATATATATATGCATATATATATATATATATATAAAAATTTTTTAAGTGCTTGACTGCATGCCAGAAACCGTACGTATTGCTGTGGAAGCAAACAATATGCTCTGGAACGCTGTACGACTTTTGTCAGAGACTCCAGTGGAGAATGTAACCCAGGCAGACTGTTTGAATTTAGAAAGGTAGGTTGTGAATTTAAAAGGCAATGGGAACAGGAAGGCAATTATGGAAAATAAGAAGTTCTTCAGGAATTTAAACACTAGGGTATCTGACCAGAGAATGTTTTCTGAAGATCTGGTTTAAGCTGATTACTCCAACGCTAACGTTCATCCAGAGGCTAAAATGCTGATGTGTTGAAACACTAAAACTCCTCTTAAGTACTGCAGCCTTGGATATTTTTTAAAACATGAAAGAACACTTATAGTAGTATTTCTCATGAAATCGATGATGAATCTGAACAATATAAGGAGGCAAGTCAGCCAGAAACAGGTGTTCTCCCTTTTTGACTTTACATTATCATCTCCAGTAATTATTGACTAGCTCAGTGGGTACTCATCTTTCTGTGTTGAGGACTATTTGATCTACTGTAGAGTCCTTTGAGGGCCTTGTACTTCAACCTGTCTCTTCTCAAGTGACTAATATGTATCACTCTGGCACATCCAAACAGGCAGTTCCAGACACACTGCTTCTGAAATAGTGCAAAAAAACTAAGTCCTAAGTTCCTTCTTTGAAAGCAGGTATCTCGTGTTTTATACGCTGCTTTTGCAGGTTGGACAAGCCTTCACTCATCTGCTCTCTTGAAAGAGCAGAGAGCACAGAGAGGCAAACTTAACTAGGAGCTTCCTCTGGGTTCTTGGGCCAAACCTTCCCTGAGGAAGGTAAAGCAGATGATGAAAGGACTGAGAAAACCATGTGGCAGGCCAGAACGTTCTAATGCTGTGTGAGCAGTGGCCTGATTGCAAGCCAACTGTGTGCTGAAGGAGGATGGAGCAACAAAGGGAGCAGGGAAATGAGCAGACATGCAAGCAGAGGCAAAAGGAAATGTAGAGTATGGTCTTTGCTCTGTCAGGTACTGGTAGTCAAATACTCCTGTCTTTACCCATCAGAGCCACTTGACACCAAGACCAGGGCTTCTCTGGCTCCCCTCTTGTAACATCATGATTCAGTATGCAAATGAGGTGTGGCTACTACCATGGTATCTGTGATACTGGTCTTGTGCCGTGCTTTCCAGTACCGCCCCGGCCTTGGCCCACATCTGTGTCCCAGCATGCTTTTGCATGACACGTTGCAGCGCTCTCCACGTAGGGCAGTGAGTACTAAGTGCATGGCCTGTCCGTTCCAGCAGTTAAGGCGAGCTGGATTTACAATTACTTTTGTTTTATATTTGTCAGAGCTCTATTTAAAAAAAAAAAAAAAAACTTTGCATTTTTTTGGTAATTTCCTTTGTTGGCTCCATCAAAAAGTTTGACTGAATCTTCCTAGCACTCAGTAGTATGCCTAACACCTTTCCTGTTCAACACAAATGGGACTATTGTAAGTAGGGAGGGAGAAAGAGTCGATAATGATTTTTACTTCTATTTTAAACAACCTTCTGTAGACAGCATTTCTGATTACAGCCAACAACTATAGCGACGTGCAACCTAAAAGTGGTTTTGCATTGAGACACAACAGTTCATTTCTCTATTGGGCTCTGTACTGCTGTGTTCCGGTGATCTGAGAAATGTTGCATTATATGGAATTCACTGTTCAAAGATGTATACGTCACCTTTGAACAACACATCTCCTTTTGCTTGTACTTGCACTCAGTTGTCAGTGTTTCTGAAGGATATCATTTAAAAGATCTGATTTTCTGATGTGCTCAGGTTACTGCATGTTGTGGGTACTCTGCTCCCAAAATTTTTCTTGATTTGATTTCTGTGCCTGAATATAAGATTTGGATTCAAGTTTGTTCCAGGTTGGAGGGGGAAAAAATGGCTGTATAGTATTCCTATATGAAACAAACTTGTAGATACATTGATGGGAAAGATGTAGTACAAATCTGTATTAGGTGGCATTGGGCCTAAGAAGCAGAGAGCCGCCAATAGGGAGAAGGCTTGTACAGCCAGCCTCTTTACTGAGTTAAGCTTTATTTTGGAATAGTTACTTCAATTGAAAATATTAATTTACTGCACAAATGCAAATAAACTACAGCCTTTTAAAAGAATATGGTGCTTATTTCCCTCTGAAAGAAAGAGAGGAAAATAAATTGTTTTGATAGTAAGAAATCTCATCAAACATAAAACTGTTTTCTTTTTTTTAAATCTATATTCTGAAATATGAAGCATGCAATTAATAGATAAAAGGATTCTAGCATTTATGACTGCAGTGCTTTTTCAAGTTAAGCTTCCATACAAATCACTGGAAGGTGATCTTGATTAAGAACTTAGTATGATGCCCTAATACTGTTTGGGTTTTTCCCTAATACTGACTCGGTCACACATGTGTATAATGGAAGCTTTGATCAGGACTCTTTCACAAGTCTAAAGGTTTAGTTTTTGAGGGTTTTTTTCTACAAGCTACTAACTTGGTTTGCACGTTTTTCTCTCTATCAGCATCACCGAACTGCTGCAGCAGACATCTTTTCTGCTTTGGTAGTCTGTGTGTTGTGTGCTCTAGTTCAGTCAACAATACTACCATGTTCTATCATGCCAGCTTTGTCTGAGTTAGTCATTACCCTCAAAAAGACCGTCGTTCTTCCCAGTGTGTAGTTTACAACTGGAGTTGTAGAAATGTTCATATTGTAAATTACAGTAAGATGCAGACTACAGTGCAGGTAAATTGTAATTTTTCACAATGTGATGTTTCTATCAAAGTTTTCTTACTTATCAGTAGAAAGGTTGGCATTTGCGTGCACCAATCTGCAGTGTCGTTTTAAAGCCTATCTTTCAGAGACAACTTTTCATGAATATACATCAAATCATATGCTTTGATGTATATTTGTCAGTGAAATTTGGGTGAAAACTATATACGGTCATTTTTGTATTTTTTTCTATGTCGTGAGGAATAAAATTGTAATTTTATAAGTCTGATTCACTAAGATTATTATAAGTTAAATGTATTTTTTGTATATTTAGGAATCTGGTATTACTTGGAGCTCTGAAAGATTAAGCATAGACTTTTTATGCATGTTTGGAAGACGTTTCTACTTGATAATGCAGTGAAATGGTTTGTATGCTAAAATACTAGTCTGTGTTGCTGCCTTGTAAAATTGATTCTGTGCTCTCTGCCTGGATTTGGACTACTGACCAGTGATACTGATTGCTGTAATCCAAATAAAATAATTCTGAACAAAACATGTTGTATTGCTACTGTTTAAGGAACAAAAGCAGATAGTCTGCAAATGTGAAATCAGGGCTGCGTTTTTCTTTATCTGTATATAATACCTTGCAGTTTACAAGATTTTTTGGCATGGATTACTTTTTGAGCTCCAACGAAAGACAAGGTTGACTTAAATTCTTTTACTAATGTTCTGTTATTTCACATTTGAAAGAAGTGTTCCTAACATGTTAACTGATTATATGAAAATTCAAACTTACTCTATAACTTCCTGAAGGATCCTGAATAGAATGTTAGCTCTTTGCTCCTCTGTTGTTGTCTGTACTCTAGGTGGGGATGGTTTTCTACAAAAAGCAATTTTGGGAATTACAAATACAGTAGAATGCTTAACTAAACCAACAGAATACTTCAGAGTTTATTTACTAAATATAATGTGTCTGCTACCACAGCAACGCTCTTAGCATTTTTAACACTTCCTGAGAGATTTAAATACTGTGTCTAGGTTCCATTAATTCTCATAAATAATAAGTTAGAGTTGCCTAATAGGAACTGAGTAGCAGTTGCAGAGTGAGTGCTGTTATTCTAGGCATATGCTTGTCATAAGATTGCACAACTACAGTGATTTTTTGTTTGACTGCAGAAGGGATGAAATAATATTGTCGTGCCCAGCATCAGCACGTGTCCTACGCATGATAGCTGTGACTTAGCACTGCTGTGTAATTAAAACTTCTTTTTTAAATGCTGTGCTGTGAGGAGTGGTGCTGAGCTCCATTTGTGCCTTAGAATAACTATTATTTGTTATTTCTGTTTCCTCTTTGCATTTGAAAAACAGCATATGTGGAAACAACTTTAGTTACCTAGGGTAAAAGGAGAAAGTCTGAGAAGCATAAGGATTCTGAGTTCATAGGCAAATTAATTTCACAACAGTATTTCAGGCTCATCTTAAATAAAGCGTTGGCAGTTCTTGGCATAAGTCTTGGAAGGATCTCTGCTGTTATAGTGACTATAAAATAAAAGGTGTGAATTTGTGTGCGACTCAGCTTTATTTGTTATGGACAGAGCATTTCTAGAGAGTTGGGATCAATGACGATTCAAGCTGCCCAACTACCTGAACATTCCATTCGATATCCAGGGGCTTTTGCGTTCTGCTTACCCACCGCCGAAACAAATGCACTTCCGCAATTGTCAGAATGTTTTTAGTATTGTGGTGAGAGAGAATTCATAAAGTTTCTGTAATCATTTCTGAAGGCTAGCTAGAAGCAGTCGCAATTAAAAATTTGGATGGGAAACTTAAAACTCTTCTAATCTTGCTGATCACTAATTACCAGATTAATAACTCCCTTTAAAGATATGAAAGATCTTAAAGTCGCTGAAGCCCTTTTGATGTGTTCACAACTTAATGTGGCATCAGTATTGTGAGAGGTGGGCTTTTCTCTTTGATGTGATGACACTGATAACATGCTAGTAGGAGGGAAATAAATGTTGCTGTCAATATCACATCTTATTTTTCTTCTAGTTTTTTAAGTAGATATATATTATATTTCAAACCACCACTACAAAAGTGTAATCCAGAATGTTTAGAAAAACTGTCTAGTTAGAGATTGTGCCTTGGCAAGCATCAGGTGTCACAATAAACTGGCTCTCTGTAGATGAAATGAATGAATTCTGTCCAGGTTGTATGTAGAAATTTTACGTTAACTGGTACTACATAAGGATGGTATTATTGGGAAATTCATTACTGGAAGTGTTTGCGGAGGCTTTCTTAGTTGAATTGTGTATGAACACTGAACTGCATTTTCTCCTGTCTTACAACTTCACTGCTTCAGACGGTCTCGGCACAGTCTTCTGCAACCATCTGTAGCTGTCATTTAAGCGCTGCTTAAAGCATTGTAGCCACCATACAGAAATGTCATTTACAACAAGCCTGCATTTAAAAACTTTTAACACTGACGTTTTCCAGTTTGAACGCTTAAACTTGAAGAATTGTGATTGCTGTGTAATCTAAACTGAGCCTCCTAGGCATTACAATAGGGTTAGTCTTACTCTAAAAAGAGTGAGTAATAATCTAAAGTACACAGAATTAGCCTGAAATGCTACTTTTTATCTCCCTTAAAATTAGTTTTAGGTTAATGTCTGTTTGTAGGTCAGCCCGTTGTTTCTTCCACATCTAGCATGCCTACAAACAATTTAACTGTGGGGAAGATATATGAAGTAGAGGGCTTTCTAATCAGCCTATAAAATGCGTTATAAAATGACTTTGGTTTTTAGTTAAAGGTTTCTTCAGGTAAAATATAGCTCTTCACTTAATGGACAAAGACAAGTATACTGTGTGCTGGGCTGCTCTGATAAATTATGCTTTTAGTACAAAGATGAGATGGAAGAAGGGGAGAGAGACTGGAGGATACACAGCTAACACTGGTGTTTCAGGAAAACATTCGGGAGTCACCAAAACTCTCAAACTCTTCTCCTTTCTTCCTCTAGTAGCTCATAGTGGAAAAACAGCAGAATAACAGCATTAAATGTATTTGCTGAAAGGTTTTATTTGGTGTTCTGACAATCTTGAGGCCCTTTCATTCTGCACTAAGTGTTCATTTTATGTTTGTGACTATGGGGAAACTGGATGCAATGGCTTAGGTGCTCTGTTTTAGTCCTCAGGTCTCGTGTAGTACTCTTATGAAAGTTACTGGACTGAGTATTAAACGTTTCCTCATTCAGCCTTTCAGTACAACGTAAACTGTTCTAAGAGGGTTTTCTTCCTCTTACTACCTACAGCACTGCAATTAACTTTGGTATATTGCCTTTCTGCAGCAATGGAGCTGAGCTGGAGAAATGTTCACACTTCAAATGAACATTCAGCTGAATAAAAGAAGGAACTGGAACCAGTTTCATCCTCTACAAATGCATTTGTAGAAGCTATTTACTTTCTTATTGTTCTTCGTAGCATGTGAAGGCACTTTATGCTGACTAGTTCTAATAGAACAAACACTGCATAATACAATATACAAGACGGGATACTGGCATGCATATAGCGAAACATCAAGTTCAGTGGAGAGGACAGCATTCTTGGTTTCTCATGCAGTTCTCATTTTACGATTATGGTGTGCTGCTACTTAATTATTGCTAGGATTGCCTCACCAGACAGCAAGAGTCGTCACAAATAAAATTAATTGAAGAAACAAAAGCACTGCAACTCTTCACTGATGGAAGCAGCAAAAAAACGTTCTTGCCTCAGCAAGAAAAAGGGCCGTGAGATAGAAAATAAGACATTGCTGGTTCAGTTTACTTAGCGAGGACGGGCACTTGATATTGTCAATGCTTACCCGAAGTAGACTCTGCAACCTGGAGGTATTTGAATTACTCTTCAAAAAGCAATCAAAGGATATGTGGAAATCTGTTCCAGGTGTACAGTTGCATCCAACTATGTGGCATACATGAGCATTTAAGGGCCAATGTGCTGCTGCAAGGCTGCAGATAAGGCCTTAGCTTGCTGGATGCTGAAGAAAAAAATTATTTTGGAAAGATGTAAAGCCGCTACGTATCACAGATGGTGAAATTATATTATTTAGATAGTCTCCAGTCTGACTTTAAAATTGATACTCGTTTGCATAACAAGCCATTCTTGGAGTCTGTTATATGAATTTTTAAGAATAAATGTATAATATATTGGTTTATGACCACTGCAGTTGTGTAATTCAGAATGACTTTTTAATAGAAAATGTTCTGCCTTTGTATATTTTTATATTTATTTTATAACACCAGCTGGATGTGAAAGGATAGAAGTCTGACTGCCAGTTTAGCCTGTGCTTAGCTCCAGAGCATCCACAGCATGCGCTAATCTCATCTCACAGTAAATATGGAGGGGGAGCATACACAGATAGTTAGATGAAAACAATTGAAACTAGATTTCCTTATTCTGCATGCGCAGAATAACAGTTTTCTATGCACTTTATTTTTCCACTCCTGTTTAAAATAAAGAAGTGGTTCCTTGTAGAGTTGCATGAAAGTATCAGGTTGTTCCTTTTGGTGCACAAAGCTGTGACTTGAGGCAACTGGTAAGTTTAATGGGCAAAACCAGCTGACTGTGCACCCTGTTTTCAGGTGTGTTGAAGCTAGGCTTTCCAGTACTGGAAGTTGATGAGTTGCTGGTGTGCTTAGTGCTGTAA